CATTTAATGAGTCTTTCAGCATCAAAGGCCTGGAATTTTAATCATTTATGGAGTTCTTCAAACAACATTTGCATGCTAAGTTTTTCTGTAACTACAGCTACATCTTTAAAGATTTTTTTAAAATTTTTAATGAAGAGGGGGATAACATTTTCGATTCATAATCATGCCTATTGGTACATTGAGAGATCTGGAATTTTTTTAATAGGAATTAAGATTAGTTAAAAAAAAAAAAAAAAGAAAAAAGAAAAAAGTTTATTTAACACTTTTTCAACATAAGCACACCATTGATGCATTTCTTCGGATGATGAACTATTATCTTGTAATACTAGTCACTCGCATGGCCATCCTAAAATAATTGTTATAAAATATATACACACATGATTTTAATGAGTCCAACTAGTGTAATTTCATACAAATATTTAATGATTTTAATAATAAACCAAAAGTACTGCTTTTCTGATTACACCAATTTAATCAATCGTTTTAGTCCAATGATTCTAGACATTAGATGCAAAAATTTTTGCAAAAGTTATTAGCACAGGTTCAGTTGGGCAAGACAACTGCACCTTAAGTCTTCAAATTACAATATATACCTCAAAGAAGGATTTGTCTTTAAAAACAGATTTGAATGTTCATGAACTTTTATAGCCCAAAGAGGCTATTTACCCAGAAAGGTTATTAATTTAATTTTGGCATTTTATATTGTTCATTATAAATGGAGTTTCACTTTTCAAATTGCTGCCAACAAATATTACAACTCTGCATTATATTTAAAGAAATTAAATAATGAAGAATCTGCATGGATATATGTACATTTCTCACACTGAAAAAACAGTGGCTAGAGACCTCAAATTTTGAATAACATAGTTCTATACTCGAATATGGGCATCTGAAAACCCGAATTTGGAATAAGATTTACAGTTCAAATTCCGAAATTCGGAATGGTCAGGACTTTGTACTGTAAATCAACCGGACACATCCGAAATCACACTGGTCAACGATTCCAGATTTGGGATATTTCTGGATAATAGATCATCAATTTAAATATGGTAAAAAAGCATGCAGAAATTATACAATTAAAAATATAAAATCATAATTTATGAAATAAAGAACAATTATGATCTAAAGTAGGGATCTTCAACATATGGCCCCCTGAAAGCATTTTAGTGGCCCCATATCTGAACTTGAGGAATGACTTTTTTTTTCTTATTCTTGATATTTAAAGCATTTTATTGACATGCCTGGTATTATTAGAGATAAAAGTTTCTGAAAATGATCTCAATGATTTTAACTACCGTTTATTGGGAAAAGATCTACTTGTTCATAATTTTTATTACTTTATGAAAGCTTTTGAGACAAAATTAATCCTGTCTTTAAGTCAGTTGCTAAATAAGAATCCCACTCCTTTCCAAAATTGATGGAGTGTGTGAAGGATGTAATTCAAATAATTATGTACAATGCATTTCAAATTTGAAAGAGGAATTCAAAAGCAGATTTTCCGATTTCAGTGAAACTGAAATTTTTATCAGAATGTTATCCTCACCATTTTCAGTAGATGTTGGAAGTGTTCCACCTGAACTTCAAATAGAATTTATAAATTTACAGTGCGACTCTGCAGTAAAATGCAAATTTCTTGAAAATCCTACATTGATTTTTATTTGAAGTACATGACCAAAGACAAGTATTCAGGAATTCGTAAACATGCACTTTTCCTGTCTTCTATCTTCAGCACTACCTACATATGTGAACAACTTTTTACGGATTGCAACAACACAAATTAAACTGTATACTGAAGCTTTAATCAAGAATAAACAATGTCAAATTTTGCATTAAAACTAAAGTAACTACCTAAATGCATTTTTTGTAACATCGTTCTCTGCAATCATCTTTATACTTTTTTTCCATAGTTAAAAAATGTTGCAAAACATTTAAATTCGATTTCCGTACGACGTTCTGGAACCAATGTATATATATATACAAATCTATAACACTATCTCTTCGCTTAGAATCAATTGTAGTCTTGCAAAACAAGCTTCCCTTTTTTATATAAATTTTCTGACTATACTATTTTTTGACACACATGTGGCCCACGGATCTTTGTGAATTTATTGATGTGGCCCTCAGAAGTGAAAGGTTTAAAACCCCTAATCTAAAGGGTATCGAAATTTACAAAAGACAGCTTAATATTTATTTTTTTATTTGATTAAACATTTCTTTCAATGTAAGTTGTTTAAGATGCTCCCACAAAAAATTCAAAAAGTTCCTTTTTCTTTTGTCTTGTGTCATATACAGTAGACTTCCCAATGCCATACTCCTCCCATAATTTTGAGACGGATATGATAATATAAATTCCACTTTTTGTTTAATGGACATCGAAACATGGTTTCGCTTTGTAGATCTTTTGGCAACTCCAGAATTGGAAACTCTTTTCAACATAATCAAAAGTTCAAGCTTAGTTTTTTATACAATGGGTTATAACAACAGTCTGCAAAAAATAATAGCGATCGAATTAGAAGATCAGGGAGCAGTGCGTCTGCTACATTAATTCAATGCCTTAGAAGCATTAAAAAAATTATTTAGCCTAGCTAATAGCGTCGTTATACATTATTGGCTGGGTATCACAGGGCGACCAAAAGCATTGTTTTTCACTAAATTTTGTCTTGCTCCTATTGCATACTGAATTAAACCTGAATTGTATTAGTTTAGTTATTTACTATACCTATGTTTATTTCTTGCGCATGCTTAAAACTGAGTCCTGAATAAATTAATTCCCACATATACTTATACACACATATAATATATCCCACATATACCTAGGGCCGGTGTTTAGATACCACCTGGTGCAGTGTCTACGAGTCCTAAATTCTGCTACAAAGCACCTTCCTAAGTTCTAAGTTTTCACCGTGCCTAAACTTTGGATCCCAGTGGTTTCCCTAAATCATACAAAAACTTCTCATCCCTTAATTTTGCTGCTTGATGCTTCTCCAAATCCCAAAAATTTCATCTTAACTTAATTCTGCTCTCCGGTGCCAACATATTCTGCCGCCGCTTCTGGTTTTATGGTGAATAACATATCAGTTATTTTTAATTAAAATAACACTACTGCAATCTTTGGCCTATGAGTTTCATTAACAAAATCTATTTTTAGCATATGAAAGAATTTTTTGTTGAATTTTTCCTCGTCAAACATTTTTTAGAGCTTTAAAATCTAAATTACCAAGCGTAATGTACAAAAAAAGGTCATACTCTGTTTTTCAATAATTACTAATAATTTAGACTTCACAGCATCAGTTATTACTGAAGCTGTCATGTATTAATAAACATGCGGTGATGAAAGCAAAATATACTAAATAATGACTTGACTCACCAGGTCGGCATCAGAAATATAAAATACGTGAATGTTTCGGTTTAAGATGTATGCCAAGTAGATACTCAGCTATGGAGCAAAATTATTAATCTCACAAATTTATGCTTACATGGTTGTTTTTCCATAACAAGGAATTTTATTTAGAGCCTAAGTGAAATTAAGAATTGGAATTTATAAGTGAAAATCTCCACACATTTTATTATGGAAGAAAAATGTTTGTGGCTTTGAGGTCTGGATTCGAGATCATTCCGCATAATGGACGTCCGGATTTCGGACTTTTATTATCTATTTCATATTTTGTAAAACTTTAATGAATTTGTTATTAACAAACTCAATGGTTTCAAAGCGAGCAATAGCAACAATATATGAAAAAAAATTATGTCCAGCATGTGACAATATGTATCAGAAATTCTAAAGATATGCTTTTTTTAAATTATTTTGTGATATTGCTGTTGAATTGAATTTTATGGTTTAAGCATGAAGAACATGATATGTAATAAATAAAGGTAACACATAAAACGTTAAAAACACGCCCCTCTGGGTGCAATATAAAAGCTTTGATTTTTTTATTTTTTTTAAATAACGGATTTCATACCAATTATGTACATATTGCACAAAAAAATCGAGGACAGTTCTAAATCTGTTCTACTGGACCGATTGTCAAAATGTTACTTGCACTTTCCATGTCTCGAAAGCATAACTTAGGATATATATTAGATTTATTTATACCATTGTTCTAACATAGGTATTTTGACACAAAAATCAGACTTCTTCTGAAATAACATAACAATTTTTTTCCCATATTTCAATTCTACAACTCAAATGATGACACTCAAAATACCAAGTTTTGTAAAAACAGCATGAGTAGTTTTTAAAAAATTAGCTCTCAAAATTTTAGCTCCTCCACGTTAATTGATTTTGGTATATATTTATTAATTCTCCTTTTTTATTAAACTTATTTGATTCTTCCTTTCACATTTCAAAATTTAGGTTCCTTCTAAATAAAATTCGCCCATTTTTTTATGATTTTAAAAAATTTCTATTTTTATAAATTTTTCTAAAACTTTTAATTTATAACCCATAAAATTTTTACCATCATCTTAAAGTAGACACATTTCTAAGCATATCTGCAAAAATTTAAGAGTTTTTTTATTTAAAATTTCCTAAGATACCGTATTTCCTCGCATAATATTCGTGCTTTTTTTTTCGCAATTTTCCATAGTGAAAGTCTAGGTGAGACTATTATGCAGGGAAAATCTACTACATAAAACAGTCAAAAGTCGTTAATTCGGACACCCGTAATCCGGAATGATCTATAATCCGGACCTCAAGGCTAAAATCTTTCTGCGCATGCGCTGCATTGACGCATGCGCATAGGCGTTTTACTCGTGCGCGCAAGACATTTACAACTGCGCATATGCATCTGCGCAAGTGCAGAATACGTTTTCGCGTGCGCGTTTAATGTATAACGGACGGTAAAAGCTAAAATTATCTAATTATCTATTTCAGTTAATGTTGATAATTGCGTTGTTCCTTAATCTTCAAATTGGATCCGGCTTATTTTTTTTGCAGACTGTAAGAGCAATTTTCTAAAAGTAAGCTTGAACTTTCGATTATGTCAAATAGAATTTCCGATGCTGGAGCTCCCAAAGGATCTAGAAAACGAAAGTATGTTTCGATGTCCATCAACAAAAAAAAAACGAATTGCTACAAAAAATGGATAAAGCATATCTTTTGTTTATCTAACTGTTCCGAAATCTGTTTATCAATTTCACGCTGCTCTGCGCGGGGGGGGGGGGCATGTCGTGGTGCGCAATGAACTGGAAGTTGATCTGTCAACACTATCGTTATCTTCAGGGCAGATGTTTTTATTTTTATTCGGCTTATAATTCCTTACTAAATGTAGTATTTAATTTCGATGTACTCCGTCTTTGATATGATTTAAATCAAATTCCTCGTCATTATAAATATCACGAATACAAATCACATAGTTTTTCTGGTTGCAATTTTCTAATTTCGGCTATGCGTAAGGTATGCTTTACGCATCCGCGCGTTAAAAGAAATGTTTAATAAAGTAAACAAATAAATATTAGGCTTCTTTTTTGGTAATATTTTGATACCCTTTAGATCATAATTGCTCATTATTTTCATAAAATTACGGTTTCATATTTTTAATTTTATAATTTCTGCATGCCATCTTACCAGATTTAAACTGATGATCTATAATCCGGAAAAATCGATAATCCGGAATCGCCGAAGTCCCGACGAGTCCGGATTAAAGACTTTTGACTGTATTGTACACATTTTGTAAAATTTTTTTCCCTTCAAAATAGGGGAAGGGCGGCTATTGCACGAGTAAATAAAGTATACACAAATTTCCATATTAGCACATATTGAAATTTCGTTATAAGTAATAATAATGCCAAATGTGGTTTATGCACTTTGTTAAAATTATTTGAAAGTATGAACGATGACCTTTTTTTCTGCTTGTGTACAATGAAAGAAAGGAAAGGAAAATAGGTTGCTATAAATCAAGAGTTCGCCAAGTGAATTATTCTTGGTACAATCTGAAAAAAAAATGTGCTAAGGTAAGTTTTTTAATTTCTTCACTAATTTCTCACCAAAAATTACAAAATTTAATATCTAGGCATAATTTGAGTGGTAGAATTGAAATATGGAAAAGAAATTGATATGTTATTTCAGAAAAAGTTTGATTTAATGTCAAAATACCTATGTTAGAACAATGCTATAAATAAATCTGATATATATCCTAAGTTGCACTTTCGAGACATTGAAACCGCAAACTAAATTTCAACAGACGGTCCAGTAGAACGGGAGGTATAGAACTGTACCTTTTTTCGGGGGGTGTGCAAGGTGTACCATATGAGATTAGAAAAATTGGTTCTTTTCTGTTAAGTGGGTGCCATTTAGAACCGCTTGGTATACATACTGGCATGAAATCTGACCAGACGGTAATTTTAATGCCATGTATATATTTATAAAAAGAATGACTTCCTTATTAAGTCTAGAATTACTGCAAAAAATGGGCAAATACAAGGTAGACAAACTGGACAAATACAATAATGATTTTACTAGATTATATATATGGAAGGCATAATGTTGCAATTGCTGCCTAGATGTTAGTTAGGAAAGCTGACTACCATAATGAAGGGCCCAAGTTCGAATCCCAGAAAAGGCACAGTTGCAACTGTCCATCCCTTCATAAGAGGTAGCAGTGGCCGCCTATTAGGTGCCTCCACAATAAAATGGCCACCACTTCTGGCCTTAGGATGGGCTTATGTCAAGAAAAAAAAATAAATAAATAGTGCCCGGCTTTCGGGGGGGGGGGGGGAATAACATTGTCATTGCTGAAAGTTTAGTATTTCATTTTAAATTCCTGAAAACATTTTAATTACTGGACTAAATGCTCATTCTTCCTATTTATTCGTAATGCTGTCATTGCATAGCTACGCATAACTTGGTATAAATAAGCTACTACATTTGGCACTTTGGAACACAATTACAACTGGTGCCAAAGTGACAGGTATGGCAGATTTTAAAAATCTAACATAAATCAAATTTTTAAAAAAGCAAGTACTCATTAAAAAATATTAGTTAGATTTATCAAGAATTCAGTTCATCTTTAATTAATCAGATGTATTATTAAAAAGGTTTTAAAATATATTATTAAGAACTGAGTTTATTGCTTTTAAATCACTCAGTTTTTAACACAACAAATTCTTTTGCTCTTTTTTGGGGGGGGACAGTTGCAAAACATCACTTTTAAATTTCTGAGTTTGTTAACTTAGTGTGCGAAGAGAAATATCTTACCCTTTGCCAAATGGCAACACACTGCTTTTATATCACAGAGTCTGTTAAATATTCATTAAGTTTCAACAAAGAACATAAAATAAACAAATTCTGGCTTTGAAGCGTATTAAAAATTTGGTGGCTCTAAGTGTCTTTCCATTGCGAGATGAACTTGCATACAGATTCTTCATTTTTTAATGATAGAAGAAAACAATGTTGTTCAAAGGAACCTTAGATCAGTTTAAAACTTTATTCCAGTCTTCCGGTTTACCATCGCAATTTCTGCCTTTTCCTGAAAATCAAGGAAACAAACTGATACAAGAATTGTGGTCCTCGTAAACATACTTACAGGGACCAAGATAAAGGATTTTCTCATCAAAGTTGAACTGATTAATTGTTGAATGCTCAAGTTTAAAGGTAATCTCTACCACAGTTATGCATGCAAAACATATCATAAAAACAAATAAATACATGTTTGCAGAATATTTTAATAAATAATCATTTAGTATAAAAACACTTCTGTGGTTCTTGGGTGTTTGTTAATTTTCAAACTATAATTCACTATCCCTTATCTGTTAATATTCTTGAGCAGTGTAAAATTCCATGTTAATTTTCCCCACTAATTTAAAAATCAGCTACAATTCCAGAAAATTAGCAGAATAATACAAATCTATAAATTTTTAAAAAGAAAGATATCTGCCTAAACAATCACATTAACTGTGTAGTAGCTATTTCACAAATAATGAGGATTCACACATATTCCCCATTTTAAGATTTTTTTATTATATATTAGAAATAAATACATATTTTAATTACCTAAAACTAATGATAAGAGTTACACTGATATGTTAAATCCAAATATATGTCTCCTGTCTCTTCCTATATATTTCTTTTGAAATTTAAAAATAATATATTTTTATGTCCTAAATGTAAAAAAAATTCACTTCAAAGTTTAAATGATAAAACTTTGTATATTTTAATGTTCATACAGTAGCATTTACTTCACTAGACACAACAAAATTAAAATTACTTTAATCACTACTTAATACAATTACTCAATTATAAATTTTTCATTCTTTTTTATTAGGAATCATTTTTTAGAGAGCTGAAGATAATTTGCATGGCATGCACACAAATTTAAATATTGCAACTAGCTCATACAGATGTATGATACATAAAAAAATTTGAGTTGAATTTTAATTATGAACACCAGAAATGGTAGATATAACTCTGAAAGAAACATTTTATTTTAAAAGAATTAAATGCAAAAACTAAATGTATTATTTTTATGGAAAATTATAGAAACTAGGTTCTCAGAATATGTGAAGAATTTGCAACTGATAAATCAGAATAGCTCTTTAGTAAAAAGTTAACAGTAATGTACGAGATCTATTTTTCGTAGCACAACAAAAATGCAATACTAAAATGTAGCTACGATTAAAGAGAGTTAAAGTATAAAATACAAAGCATGAATGCTTCTATTGTTCTTTAATATTGATTGTTTATAGGAATCTGAATTTTATTTAAACATTAATAAATTAATGTTTAAATAAACTGTTAATAAATTGCTTAATAATAATTGTTTATAAATAAATTGTTTATTAACAATAACATTTATGAATCAAAATTTTAACTACCAAGTTTAATAAAGTTATTAAATGTTTAAATGTAAAAGACCTTGCATACCTCTGTTGCATATAAGATTTCAAGAATCTGCTCAATGAATGGTTGTTTTTCTTCACTCATCTCTTGCTCTTGGCAAAGCACTTCAATGTCTCTTAATTTTCCATAGTAAAAATCTCGTTCCCGTTCCAGCCCATCTACAGTTACTTTCATCTCTGCAATCTAATTAAAAAGAACTTTTAGCAGAGATATATGTTAAAACATTCTTAAGTGCCTTAGTGAAATGTTAAAATATTAATTAAAAATTACCATAAAACAAAAATTTCTAATACATTGTTTCAGAATATCTTTCCTAATCATTTTAAATCATTTCTTAAATCTATATTATTACTTTTAAATTACAACAATTTAAAAAAATTCCCACATCTGCAATTTTTTTTTTTTTAATCCGGGGGGGGGGGGCAGATGTCATTAAATCATCTAAGTCAGGCATGACCAAACTGTGACTTGTGTTGCAACAAATACTAGTTTTATTCTCAAAAACCTTAACATTTGAAGTAAAAAATTTCTTAATTACATTAATGCACATGATAATTTTAAAAACATGATTAATGCAATGATAATTTTAAAAAACAATTACAAATTATTCACCATAAATTAATCATTAAAGTTACATGCAAGCAAAAAAGCTAAATAATTCCATTCTAAAACTACTCACAATGTTAATTTTAAAACCCATGGTAGTCAGTATATTAATGAAATATCTCAAATTTTAATAAACAACATTAGAATTCGTATAAAACTTTCATTGGGATGATGCAATTCTTATCAAATGTATTAATTCAATAATTTGGAGATAGAATATTCTTTATGGGTTGGTCCTCCCACCAAGTTGTGTGTGAAAAGTTAAGGCATTTTTTATGCAAAAACCCTAATAAGTTGATAACTTATTGAGAAAAAAAATTTTGGTCTTGAATTACAATTTCTACACAAAACAAAGTCTCCATCTCCAAAGAAATCTGTACATTATAGGAACATATTTACCTGAACATGATACAAAAGAAGCAAGAACTATATTCACAAACATATATAAAATTTGTAAAAAAAAAAAAAAAAAAAAAAAAGAGAGAGAGAGAGAGGGAGGAGTCTTAAATCTAAAAACACACCAATGTAATATTTAAAATTAGAGGGGGGAAAAAAGGCAACTTTGGTTAGATTTTCAATAGAACTCGCAAAAAAAGGCTTTTCGGGAGATAGACACAGGCCTTTTTCTGGGGAAAGAAAAAAAAAAAAAAAATTTGGTTAAAAATCCTTATATTTTAGTTAAAATTTTAATAGGAAAAAAACTTATTATGTTCCCCCCCCCCCCCCCCCCTCCCTACTGACAGAAAGTTTAGTCATTCTTAGTAATAATCTGTATGAGTTAGCAAAACTCATTTAGTAATAATCTTTCCCATCATGTTTGAAACGAAAAGTTTCCTAACAAGGTGCAATTCACATTTCCACACTAGTGTTTATCAGAGAACTAAAAAAAATTAAACAGCTTTATGGATAAAACTATTAATTCTAAACATCTTGCAATCCTTTTACAATAAAATGATTTAATTGTAAGATAAGATTAACAAACCTGATTTGTAAGTTCCTCTATTCTATGAGCATCACCTCTATTTGTAATCCTCTGGCTTGAAATCCTCTGGCTAGCAGGATTACTTCTTGCAGAAGGAGCTGAAAAACAGTATCACATTAATAAAAGAGCATATTTAAAATTTAAGTGATAACACAGTTTTCACACCTTCAAAATTGAGTACTGTTATCAACTCCATGCAATTTTTTCTACACATGAAGATGATGGTTAAAAGCAGGTCATGAAGTAAAAACAACGTTGCAAATAATATTTCAGTAATTAAACAGATATCATCAACTGCTTTCTAACAATGCAGAATTGTTACAGATGAAAACCACTTTCAAAGTTGTAAACATGCAAACGAACTGCTAACTACTCTAATATCAAAGGATAAAAATTAACGAGATCTTAAACACTATAGCCTGCTTAGAGTGTGTTAAAGAGAGAGTAGAGAGTTCTCTACTAATGTACAGCTATGCATATGCAAAGAAGGAAAATACTACTACATGGAAAAACCAATCCTAGGATCTCAAAACCATGCTTTCTACAAACTTCCAAAGTTTTACTGAACTGATAAAAAATTCTCAAATGTTGCCAATATGGAACCGGTTTTCTTTAGGCTATTTTCACAATTCTAATGTCTATTTCTATAGAAATATACACAGAGAATAACAAAACAACTAATTAGAAAAATTCAATAAATGTTCACATATTAAAAGTTGTACAAAGTACACAATAGCAACAGTATAATAATTTCTGCATCTCCTGATATACTAGCCAGAGATTACAAAACCACAGACCTACAGTTTAATTTTTGAAAAAAAAAAATTAACTTGCCATAATATAAGGTATTATAACTCAAATTATCTAAGAACTGCCTTGGCACTACAACTCTGACCAAACGCTCTTGCATTCATGTTTAGGCCTACGCAGATAAATAAAAGAAAACAGCCAATGCAGAACCAAGACACATCCGCAAAGACTATAGTATTACAACAAGCAAGATTTTTTAAGCTTTGAGAGGATATTATTTATTATAATATTCCAAAAAGGAAGTCCAGAAACTGAGCTTTGAGGACAACCCCTTTAAAGGAGATGGATTGCAAAAGCCAAACCCAAGTTGCAATTTGATTGTCCTATTACATAGTCAAACAAAAGTCAGCAACAAATGAAAAAAATATTTGTTGGAAGTTTCACTTTTTTAAGAAGGTTGAGAATGCAAGGCTACCATGCATTGTTGAAGGCACCTTCTATATCAAGAAAAACCAAAAAAAAAGTGTTCAAAAAATTTTTTACCTCCTTGAACAATCTCATTTGAGCATGAAAAGAGTGTCTTCAGTACTAACGTGTAAAATTGTGTTGCTCACCAGAAAAAAAAAAAGTCTCTTTGGTGCAAATACCAGAAAATTTTGTTAACAAAAAGATTTTCCTTTCAGATTGTTTATTATTCATTTTCTTTTAATTTTTTTTTAACATAAAAACTTGACTAACTTTATGAAGATCTAAATCAACATTTCTTAAGGGATGTAAAAAGTTTAAAGATCATGTGATCGAATGATAACTGCCATCTTTAAATTATCGGAATTGGCATCATGATAAAGTCTAAGTGTCAGGATGTCCTGGAAGAGAACTCTTGTAACAATGAGGCTTCTGAATAAAGGAACAGTGAATATTATCAGTTTTCATATTTCAAATGAGTTGTGCTGCGCATTTACATTTATGAAGGTTCAGTGTCACACACTTCAGAACTCGCTCATCTGACCTAAGCATAATCAATTCAAGATTAAATGTTCTTCCTGATGAAGATATGACTAATACTACATTCTGAAAAGGGTTTGTGATTAATATTACCTTTTTTATGTATATTATTTGTTCTATGATTTAAACAAATACAAACTACAACATTTCCCTTTAAGCAAGCAATCTTTCACTTTGTTTCTCCAACACAGTTAAAACAGGCTCTTGGTTCACTACATTTGTTAGCACAATGGTTATACCCAGACATTTAAAGCATTTATTGAATTTACTAAGGCTCACACACTTTTTTAGACTATTTTCATTGCACTTACAAAAATACTTTACTTAAAATTTTTGTATTTTAAATGTTCCATTTGATAACCCTTATTCTTCACCATCTTTCTATATTATAATTTCCAAGACAACTCTTTTTTTTTTTTTTTTTCTTTTTGTATCAGAAGAGGTATTTTGTCTCATTCTTCTTGAACAGCTTTCCGAAGTCTAAGGAGGGTTGTAGGTCGGCGCCTAGACAACCTTCTGTCAACATAACCTTCTGTCCATTGCTTCTTTAAAAGTGCAACTATGAAAACAAAATTGTCATTACACTTCTAAAAATATGGTTGCAGTTAAAAAAATTTTTTAAAAGTCCAAAGGCGCAAAAAAATCCATGGATTTAAATTTTATAACTTCTCAAAATTTAAAACAAAAGTGTATTCTGTAAATACAATGAAAATCATCTAAAAATGTGTAAACAGCCTCAGTAAATTCAATAGATGCTTGTGTCTTGGATACAACCATCACATTGATGAATGTAGTGGGTACACCAATTGTACTAACAAATATAGTAAGCCAACATCCTGTTTTAACTGAAAATGATGGACTCTCATACATCAGGAGATTTAGTAGGAATACAAGTAAAGGATATGGCTCTGATACACGTTTCTTGTCTTTTTTTTTTTTTTTTTTTCCAAGAAATTAACAGTGTGGCTGCTTACTTTGTCTTGATGCAGTTCTAATGATTGATGGCATTGTGGTTAAAGAGAAGATATTTCAAGTTTGAAAACTGGAAATAAAGTATACTCCTGATAATATGTGGAGCTGACCTTAACAATTTTCTGCAGTCTCTTTAGTTTTTATTTGTCATTATATCAAAAACCAGCAACAATCATAAATCCCTTTGAAAAACTTTTAGATCCTTTGAACTATGTTCTAGGATTTTTTTTCTTGTCTTTGATGATAACAAATTGATCTATTTTTACTGTGGGCATTCAAATATACCCAAAATTCATCAGCATTTTTTCATTTTTGTCCAAAAAAATCCTTCAACATGTTCTGCTTTTGCCAATCAATACGTTGCAAAAAAAGATTATGCACATTATGTTTTTTTTTGCCTTTTCAAGTTTCAAATCAGCATTAATCAACTTGTTTACAGTCGACACTGAGCATTTTAATGACTATGCAACTATCACTTGACTTCGAATATTTTCTTTTAACATTAAAGTTCTTACCTTTGCAATATTCGAAACACTGTTTTTTTCCATGGATATATATTTTAAGCAATTTTTCTCCTCGAAGCTTAATTTTGAAGTTTTTACCCTTTTTAATTGACAATATTATCTAATGTTGCTTTAGATACCAAAAAAATCATGGCTTTCGCAGCATTTTTTAATAACTAAATAAAAATAATTTTCTTTGACAAGAGCACAAACATAACCTTCTGTCCATTGCTTCTTTAAAAGTGCAACTATGAAAACAAAATTGTCATTACACTTCTAAAAATATGGTTGCAGTTAAAAAAATTTTCTAAACAGGCAATTTTTTCATAGCAAAGCAATGTCATCTAAAAAATGCGTGAACAGCCTCTGTATTTAAACATCTATTGAATACGAAAACCACATTTAATTAATTTTCAACCTGACTTGACAGAGAATACATTTATGAACCATAGGGTGCATTTCAAAGATACTGTGAACAAAAATTAAAATGAGAAAATGCAGATGCTGAAGATACCTCTTCTAATGGTATAACAATGTAATCAAAGAAAGACAACACATGAGAAGCAAACTTTCCATCACAGTGGCTCCAAAAGCTGCAATAATAAATATTTATTTATACAAAACTGCAGAACTGAAAATGATAGACTCTTCAATTTTCAGATAAAGTAGAGATATATCTGTATTTTGAGCTCCAGCACTGTTCATTAAAGAACAGTATAGGGGGAAAAAAAGGAGAAGCAGATCCCAAAAAAGGACAATTTAATGTACTTCTTATTAATTAATCAATTTTATATGATTTGGATCTATACTATGACTTCTCCTTTTCGTTAGCTCTCTCCAGGATATACATAAGTTAAAGGTTTTGAATGTTTGGCTTTTGGGAGCAATACTTAAAGCTTTACTTTCTATCACCAAGCTCTGCTCTTAAATATAATTTTAATGTGTCAGCATTATTATTTTAAAGATTTTTATCAATGTCATTATGTTTTTTTTAAAAGTTAATTGAGAAATTCACAAATCACAGAATTGGAAATTTTAAATACAAACTGATTTTCACCAAATTTAGGTGCCACATAACAAAAGAATACATATCCCAAAAGGTAAAAAATGATTTTTTTGATGTAAAAGAACTCTTCATCTGCAAAAAAAAAAAAAAAAAAAAAAAAAAAAAAAAAAAATGAATAAAAAATAAAATAATAATTTTGAAATGTTTGTTTTGCTCGAGGTAAGGCCTCCTTGCAAACTGAACTCTTACATTAGAAGTAAAAATGAATGCAAACGATAATCCATGATAAACATATTTGTCAATGAATCACTAACAAACCTTCTTCCAAAATATTGACTCACACTCAAAATGTCTAACCTAGACACAAATGTCAGACGAGTAAAATTAAAGGAAATATTGGCCGAAATTAAGAACGTTTAAGGATCAAACCCATTTTAAAAAACCCAAAACCTTTTAAGGATCATACAAATCCTGGAAAACTTAGGAAAGTTGGCAGCTATGTGTATATACAATCTAATTTTATCTGTGAGAATTAGTTCTCCCAGTATTCCAAGGAAACCGGCTATTAAAAGTACAAAATAACAAGTTATAAACTGGAATGATATTGAATAAGGAAAAAAATCAAAAGCATGTAACTAAATTACTTTTTTAATAGTGGCCTTCTCTAATTCTGATAAATTTATTACTTAGAAGTATTCAGCAAGTTACACAGCTAAATTTTTATTTGCATAAAATTTTATGACAGCTTGCTAACAATTTTTTTTTTTTTTTTTTTTTTGCTGTGATAAAATTAGAATCTTCCCAAACCAACGACTGAAGTTAATACGGAAAACAGTATTTGGCTCATTAAAAACGGAAAGAAATGTACTGAAAATACACCAATATATAAAGTTATCAAGCATTTGAAAATGAGGGCGAAAGAAGTAAAAACTGATACAGAACCGTGAAATGTTAATTTCATATAGTTTAGGTGATGTTGTTCTAGTTAATTGCTTTACCAAACAATATTTTCTACAGCACAGGTATAGCACACATATTGAAATGTGCTAAATCACATTCATGCTGATTTGAAAGCACATCACAGCAATTAACATTTTAATGTAATATTTAATGATCTCCTTGTGCAATACAGCACAAAAGCCCATAAAGCATACACTAAAACATTATGAAAATCACCTTTGTTAAGATAAACCGATTTTTTCCCATTCACAATTTGTTTTAAAAACTAGCTTTCTTATGCTACAGCATACTAAGCAACACAGCTAGCTTAAACAACATAGAATTCTATGCCAAATTAAACTAATCATTAACTGTATCACTTCTCACTGGTAGGCTTTTGAGACGGCATGAAAACTCGTGAGTTATTCATAAATACTTTTATGGAGTTTGAATTTTTAAATTAATTATATTCAAGAAAAATTTCTAAACTTAATGCAATATTTTTAAGTGATTAATTTTATGAGGAAAATTATCTCAAAATAATGAAATTTTTAAAGAAATTATTCTAATACAATATCAATTAATGCATTTAACAGATCAGTTATTTATATTAGTATGAATTACTAAAAAAACTAACCTGCACGAGCAATAGTTTTCTGCACCGAAATATTAGATGCGAGACGATTAGTAGATCCTGATTTATTGGAAATGCTAGTACTTCGGCTGTCACCTCCTCCACCAATAGTCATTCCACTTCTGGCCTCTAGTGCATTATATCTTGTCCTCCATAATTAGCATCAAAAAACTTTTTGAACCATTGTAGAAATTCAAAATTATCTTGAAAACGTCCTTTAATTAATTTATCCACTGGTATGTGCTGAAAAATTGAAGTTCAACATATCAGAAACATAAAATACTAAATAATTTTATGCCACTTCAATTCAACTAGAAGTACATGCCATATTTTCTCACATACTTTTCCTTAGTTTTTCAGCCCTTTTTCCTCTTAATTTCTGAAAATCTAAAAAATACTTGCATAATTTTCCCTTCCTCTATTGTACATAGTCTCCCCTTTGAAGGCTAGCTTATTGGTAAACTGTAGTCCCTTGACTGCTTTGTATTAAATTTGTATTTGTATTCTTGTTTTAGCATTTAATCTATTTCTTTTTCCCTTGCATTTATTATTTGAAATTTATTTTGTGTAGATTCTTTATTAAGCTACCCAGACATGGCATGTGTTCTCACACTTAAGAAATATTATTTACATTCCAGCTCATTGTAGCCTTATTGTATTGCTAAAGTGTTCATCTTTTATGTTCAGGTCTTTTTTTTTTTTTTTTTTTTTTTTTTTTTTTTTTTTGCCCTTTCTTCCTCTCAAGTCCCTTTTAAGAAATGCTATCAAGACTTATTCATGTGAGACACTCCAAAGGTTTAGCTGAGAAAACTGAGCCAGACATGTCACACGGCTCAATTACCATCTTATATTGTAACGTTAATGTTGCTATGTATCCTTATGGAAATATAGGTCTCTTTTAAAGAAATACTGTGATAGTCACCAGAAGTTTATTCATTACTACTTTTCGTTTCTAATGTTCTTACTGTAACTAGGTCCTTCAAAAATTAAATTGCTTACATAATTTCCCCCTTTGGATTTTCAAACAATAAAATTAGTTAAAAAAGGGGAAAATATGGTATACACATACTCCCAATACTGTTTCACGAAGAAAATGCAATACAAAAAATACTTCAAATGGAAAAAAAAAGCTGGCTTATAGAACAGAACAGTAGCTTATTTAAAATAAACAGCTGGGGAGAAAAACAGCTGGATTTAACAGGAAAGACTATAGTTGACTGGAACAGCACAAAGTATAGAACGATTGCGGGGTTTGGCAAAATGGAGAAACAAACATCACAGAACTACCTGAATAAACTTGGATTCGTGCTTAAACGAATTTATGTGGTGAAGATTGCACAAGCATAATGACTTGCTTGTTTGCGCTTTAAAAGCTGTCAAGGATTTTTAGCTGCCAAAATGATTTTTAATATATATGGTTAGATTCAAGACTAATTCAATGTGCAATTAATAAAAAAATACAGATTTCTTACTTTGTTTTGATTCTTTTTATTACACTTTTTCATTACGTATTATTACACTTGAATTTTTTGTTATTATTTTATTATTATTATTTAATAAATTTAATGTGTTTAGAATGTTTATTTTGGAAATTACATTATAATGGGCCCAAAGGATATCTGCATTTTCGTGAGCGTTTACAGGTGAACGGCATAATCCCAAAGTACCACTTTTTTAATCAACAAACAATATATTTCTTGACACAATCTTTACCTAGACATAGAAAATGCCCACAAAGAAAAATCAAATTAGCTTTAAAAGTACTTCAGAGTTAATTTTAAAAATCAGTTCTCATTTTAGAACTTATGTTATTATTGGAGTTATATGGTATGGTGTATTTAATTATGGAAAAGCACACTAGGGCTATCTGCCTAAGGGGAGGGATGTCTTCGTGGAGGACTTTCTAAAGGAAACTGGCTCATATACACGTTACACATGGGGAAAAACATGAAAACACCCATGCAACCAGCCCGTTCGCGGGATTCGAACCTCGGACCGAACTACCAGTGTTCAGCAACTTTACCGCTCAGCCGCTGGTGAACCCTGGAGTTATACGATTTGGAATTTTCCCTCTGGAATGATTTGCATATATTTTTCTTTAAATACATCCTGAAACTTCCACTTTTCTAAAAGCAATTTTCAAGTAATTTTTTCTGGGAAGCTGAGTATATTATATAACAAAATCTCCAAATATATTAAATAACTGAAGATCAAGGAGAAAATTTAGTTAAAGTTATTTGGAAATTCTTAATTATAAAATCTGCAACTTAATTATAAACTGCAAGAAATTAAAATCATAACTTGGTGTTTTAATATTATAATATTGGGTCATTCAGAAAGTTCTACAGTTTTTCTTTTTCTTCTTCTTTCAGCAGTTCTTAACTACATATTCAAATTTACACAGGGGTTATTTTTTATTAGTTATTGCGACTTTTGTGATTTTGCCTTAATTTTTGGAAACCAAAGTAAATCAAGTTCACATAATTCAAACTCGTATTCTCCAAGAGCTAACTTTAATTACTCTGATAATACACTGGTGCGCAAAACTTAAGCAACAATGTAAATTTTAATCAGATGGCCATGAAATAGTGGAAAAGGGGTGCTTTTGCTCAGTACAATGAACACGGAATTCAGAAGAAAGGTCATGCGTATGCAAATGTCAGGAACAAAACATCCACAGGCGACGTGAGCGTATGCAAAACGAGTGCAGTCGGTGCGCTTAACTCAAGACTACCATAAAAGGAAGGACAGAGACGCAATTAAAGACATTCGCTGCAGGTATAAGTGAGTTCTTTCATGAAATATGGCTTGAAGAAATCACCTGGATGATTTTATACATGCAAGAAGTATCAGAAAGCTTTAGGAGGGGGGGGTAGTGTGACCAGTGTAGCAGTAGAGTCCGGAATCATCAAATGTGTCATTTTACGTGCTTGGAAAGCCTTCCAAACCATTTGTATTGCTCTTGAAAAGGTTGGTAGTGGCTGCTTCAGGAAAACAACTGCAATAGATGACCGATATATCACCCTGCAGGCGAAAAGAGCCTAAAACCAATCGGCAAGCGCTATAGCTTAGCAACTCTGTACAGCAACGGGGCAACAAGTGTTGCGGTTTACTGTGTTCAGACGCCTTCACAAAGGTGGCCTATTCCCCCTCTGTCCTGAAGGCTGCATCCCTTTGAAAATGGGACATCGGCACCACTGTTTAGAGTGGTGCAAGGAGCACAAAATCTGGACATCTCATCAATGTAATCGTATCCACTTTACGGATGAAAGTCGTTTTAGTTCCACAAGTGATTCTCAATGCTAGATAATTTGGAAAGATGTCGATTCATGGTTTCATCCCAGTAATATCATCCAGTAATCAAGGAAGGAGACCGTTACAGTGGTCCTGGAGTTTTCATCTGAGAAGGCATTGTGCTGAACGGGCGGTTAGAGCTCCACGTTTTTGACAGAGGTTTTGTAATCAGAGAACACTGTTGTTAGGAGATAACACTTACCCATGTGGATCTGATCCGAGGTGCCACTGCAGCAGACTTCGTTTTTATGGATGACATACTGGAAAGAAGATATCACTCGAATGGTTTGGCCAGCGTACTCCCCTGATTTAAATCCCATAGAACATGTGTGGGATGCTTTGGTTACGGCATGATTACATCCTCCGAAGAACACCCAACAACTGAAACAGATGACTGAAGAATGGGCACTCTTACCTCAAGATCTGTTGGATAATCTGATGCTAAGTATGGAGAGCCTGTGCAAAGCAACCATTGCAATAAGGGGAGAGCATATCCCATACTAAGGAACATCTGCTTGTTGTTCTTCCTCTTGTATAGACAATCATGTGTAAGAATATTATGAGTTTAATAAAGCTTTTATTTGTTTAATTCCATTCTGTAAGCATTGCATTCCTTATTGCACAACTACGCTTTCACCATCGTTTAAATACAAAGTGTTTCTTCTCATTTCTGAATTTCATGACTCTCGGATGATTTTTGAGGGAGTTATGGCAAAAAGAATACCTGTTGCTTAAGTTTTGCACACCACTGTACAATATTGTTATAATTCTTGTATGTATATATGTGAAATTGTAGTATATTTTGTATAATGTAACATGAGATGCTTGAATGAAATGAAGCTCTGCAAGAAAAATAAGAATACAGGGGCAAGTCTATTTCACATTGAGGTAAATAGCTATTTCGCTAAATTGGCATGATATTAGCAAGCTGGCAATGGTTTTGTCACCAAATTTGGTGACGCAAACATGGCGACGTTTTAGTCAATTTATTAGAAACATAGAAGCAGCTTTGAATTAGAACAATCATTTATCTGCATTAATCCTTTTTCTACGGGCATTTAAGAAAATGTTCACCTTATGTTAATTTATATTGCATTTCGTATTATCTGCTTACTACATTTTCCATAAATAAAGCAAAAGCAATCCAGTAATTTCTAAGCATGTGGTATTTTGCGAAAAATTCCCGAGTGTTTCAATTCTAATGTGTTGCATGGTGAAAGTGTACAACACAGAAGCTATATATGATGGAGGTGTAACATCAACAACTGCCAACAAAATGTAAAAACAAGAAATGCTCAAAAGAAATCACTTGGCTTTTTAGGCTGTTACTGTCTCTGCCTTTACATAAACCCTGCTCAAAGAAAATAACAGTCTGATGCAATTTTGAAAGCAAATGCCAGAGATTATCCATCAGAAATTTAAAAAGAAAATTTAAAGAGAAAAAAATATGTTCATCAATCTACTGAAGTCAGAAGTGGCAATCATCGAAAGATGGCAACAGATTGCTTGTGGCGCATCATTAAGTACCAACTAACACTGTAGTAACTAAATTCTTTATAAGCCTATATATAGAGTTTGGAACAAGCTTAGGCTCAAGCTTGATACTCGATAATTTTGGTCATTTTCGAGGTCATTACTTGATACTCAAATCAAAGCCCGACGGGCTTTCGAGCTCTGTACATACAAAATGTTTTCCGTTCAGCATTTTATTTCTTAATTTATTTGTCAACATATTTCTTAACCCCTTAACCTACAGTTTAGATTCGAAGATGTTGGGCTGAAATTGTATACAAGCTCGCGCAGTATTCGGGACATTTGCACGATTTGTGTAACATGCTAATCTGGGAAATCGTAAACATGACAGGCATCGCCTGTGGTAGGGCGATTGCAATTTGTAGATAGCACAGACAAGGCTCGTGACGTATTTCTATTATCTCTTCATATTGTGATCAGTTTATAGTTGTTCTTGGTCGCATTGACACGTCAAAATTTACGTTCATAAATTCTAGAAAATCAACCCCACAAGATGTTCTCTGGAAAAAGATTTTGTGATGAAAACAGTGAGAATTGTGCTAATAATTTTGCTAATGAAAGTGACAGTAGTGACGAATTGTGTAATTTCCGAAGAAAGTATAGGCGAATAATTATTGACGATTCATCCAATGACGATCAACTACCAAAGTCCTGGCTTTGGAAAGAAATAAGAAACAGTCCAAAAATCCGGTACTATATGATGACTCCTGGCATAAGAGAGAAAGCCTTATATCAATTAGGAGGAAGTAGAGGAAAATTTGATATATATTTAATCTAACATTTCATGACATATTTTGGAACAATATTGTAACCGAAACGAATCAGTATGCAGATCAAGTACGAGAAAATCCACATAGAACACGAAAAATCAACGACACTGCCGAAATTAAATGATATTTCACAATAACCATAATAATGTCACAGGTAAAAGAACCAAGAATCCAAATGAATTGGTCGAAGAGGGCTGTTGTTGAAACACCCGTATTTAGAAAATCCATGCCTTTGAACAGATATGTGCACATTACAAGGTTTTTGCATTTCTAAAACAATAATCTGGTTGACAATACAGATAAATTGAACAAGATTAGACCTGTGATTAAGTTTTTGAACCAAAAATTTAAAGAAGTGTATATAATGAAAAAAGACATTTCTAATGATGAATCTCTTATGAAATTCAGGGGGCGTCTATCTTATAAGCAATTCAAGCCATCCAAAAGGGCAAAGTTTGGCGTTAAATTTTATAAATTATGCGAGTCCGATTCCGGCTATTGTTATGAATTTTAAATATATACCGACCATGATAGCGCTTCAGAAAATGTCAAAGAGCTTTCTGAGACAGTGTTGCACAGGGGTCACACTTTGTACATAGACAATTGGCATTCTTCCCCCAAAATTATTTATGATGTTATCATATGAATATAAAACAAATGTAATTGGCACAGTACATTTGAATACGAAGAATATGCCAAAAGATTTGTGCAATGTAAAATTAACAAGGGGCAAGACTTCACAAGGATTCAAAGGCACTCTAAAACCAAATTGTATTGCAGAGTACAGCAAGGGAATGAATGGAATTGATCTCCAAGATCAAATATTAGCATGTTTTCCAGTGATGAGGAAATTCATAAAAGGATATTAAAAAAAAAAAAAAAAAAATTATCTGTTTGATATTGGTCTTTTTAACTCTTACATCTTATGGAAAAAACTGAATGATTGAAAGAAACAATGCTATGTTGACTGTAAGATCAACATAGCCGAATCTCTACTGAAGAAAATGCCCAAACCAATTTATAGAGTACGAGGCGTATTATCTTCCAGAGGTGCGCCAGACAGACTTTACGCGAAGGAATGGGCTCATTTTCCAAAGCGCATTGATCCAACACCCTTTAAATTAAGACCGTCAAAACGTTGTATAGTTTGTCACAAAAATAAAAAACGTAAAGAAACAACGTGGGAGTGTAAAAAGTGTAAAGCTCTGTTACATATACCAGAATGCTTTGAAATATATCATACCCTTACAGATTACTAATTTTGTATTTTGGAGTTTTGTATAAACAAACATTTTGTAATACTAGCATCTATGCATCAGACTGTAATTGCATATCAAATATTCCCCGTAATATTCACTTCTGGCACGATCACCGTACGTGGGCTATGCCCGTGAAAGTTAGGTTTGGCCCGATCATCGTATGCGGGCTATGCCCGTAATATTTACGTTTGGCACGACCATCGTACGCGGGCTATACCCATAATGTTTACGTTTGGCACGACCATCGTGCACAGGCTATGGCCGTATTATTTACGTTTGGCCCAACCATCGTACGTGGGCTATGCCCGTCATTGTAGGTTAAGGGGTTAAGAATCCTAGAAGGCATTTTATTGGTGTCATAAAACTAACTGCTCTTTTTTAAGTACATAAAAACTAAAACTTTTGTAATTGTATTTCGGATAAGTAAAATTAAACAATAAAAGGATTATAAATATATACAGTAAAATAATGCTTTTACTTTTACCTGAACATTGTTGAAACTTGTTTTGGTAAAGAGATGAATTTGTTGCCGCCTACAGTACATACAGCACAGTACATAGAAATGCAAGGATTTTTAATTTTACCAATAGAAACAATATACTTTTAAGTAGCAATGTGTATGTAATATTAAATAAGGATTTTCTTACTATCAGTAAAAAAAGTAACGTAAGTATGTCAACTTCAAATGCTCGAAAGCCCGAAAAAACAATCAAGCTCGAGCTTAACTGAGCTTCAAATCATCGAGCTTTACCAAACCCTACCTATATATATATAAAACGGTACTCTTCTGTTATCGGGACCAGAGTCAGAAAAGTATGTATTCATGTATATAAGTATGTACCTATTGTATGTGCATATATACACATATACGCATATACATCCATACATACTTAAATTTATGAATCCAGTCCCAATAACAGTACACTACCTAAAAAACTATTCTTTTCAGAAACATTCTGCAGTTAGAAAAACAAATCTAAATATATTTTATACCTTATCAGCTCCAACTTTTTTAAATGCTGCTTGTAACAGTTTAAAATTCTGGATATACTCATGCTCCAGAACAGTTTTGAACTTGACCTTTTTAAGAGAGATGCTCCCTAAAATAATTTAAAGCAATAATTAGATTTTACACAGCATATACACAAATTTTCATTTCCACAAATGCAACAATTATTTCTGCTCAAACTTTATCTTTTACATTCTAAAAAGTCATATTTAACTTAGTTTAAAATGTACATGGTTACTGAATGAACGTTAAGAAAAATAGACTATAAAAGAAAATAATAAATTTTCCATAGTAATGAAGAACTTGAAGTTCCACTGTTATACAAGATCTTAATAATATTAAGTGAAATATTACATAATCATTTTGACATAAGCATGCTAAATTTTTATTAAAAGCTCATAAGACAATCATAATATTATTTAAAGCTCATAAGACAATCAACAAAACAAATGCATTCTCGCATATTATAATTACGTACGTTTCAGTACTAATACAAATTTCTTATTTTAAATTTGGACCAAAAAGAAACTAATACTGATATATTACATATGAGGAGATTTTATTTTTTGCAGGAAAAATTAGCTAATCTATACATTAGTAGTCATTTATTTTGCATAATCAAACTATATAGCATAAGCTTAATATCTTTAAAAAAAAAAACTTGACCATATTGAAACTTTAACCATCTTATTACAATAAAATTTCATATACACATGCTAGGGTTAATGCAATTAATTGGTTATTAATGTTGCATTAAGAAATCAGTCAAAGATGTTCAACTTCAGATAGTACTCTCAGACATGATTGTTAACAATAACAGCCAGTTATTATTATTAATAACAATAATGGTGAATGTGATAAAGGCATAATAATCACATTTAGTGGTACATACTAATAATTACCAATGAAGTTGGTCAGAGTGATTCATTAAGAACAACAGATTGAAACCCAAACTCTAATGTACTTTTAATGCTGTACAATGCAAAGTACATGAAAATACATAAATTACTAGATACGCGAAATTCGTTCAATCTACAAAAAAAGCTTTATATGTACACATACACTATTATAATTTATATTAAATTGTAAGAATTTAATATAAATTATAACTATAATTTCATGAGAAATTTCAAACAAATTTAAATCTTAGAAACTGCACAGAAGCCCTAGTCCAAAACATTTTTGCCTTTCGTGCTTCACATAGTGTTCTAGGAACCAGATTATTAGATCAAACTCTAAATTGCACAAAATAAGATTGGTTGCATAAAAGTTTTACCCCCCCTTGCAAATTCTAATCATTACTCTTATCAAAAATGTGTTGTTAAGATATCACACTACAGCACACAATTAAAGTTTTATCAAATAGTCTAAATTCGAGGTACTCAACCCGGTACCCAAGGTGACCTTGCATAGCGTCCGCCATGCTTCAGTATTTTTTTATTTTTTTTTTCCTACAACAGTCTTTTTTTGGATTAAACATAGAGGGGATTTGGCGGGAGAGGTGTCAGAAACTTGGTTGGCCTTGTCTTGGGTTTCGGAAATGTCAAGGGCAATAGCGTGTCTTAACTTGATCCTTCTTATTGCCTCTCTCTCCGATTTAAAATGACAATGAGAACAGGCACCTCGGGCCTAGGTAGCCCGGCCACTAAATTTCTGAAAAAAGAGGGAGAGATAAATTCCGGAAATGCCTGTGAATGACACGTACATCACCTTGAATGCAGGTATTAAGAAAGTCGAAAAATTTCACTGAAAGAAGTAATTTCCGTATTATGTTTTTGTAACGACTGAACGTGGCAGGCCCGACGTGCGTCCTCGCAGGTTAATAGGACTATAATGCTTTAAAATTGGGGGCACAATATTACAAGGCTCGCCATACAAAAAAGGGCTGACAAAGAATGACAAAAGTGGAGGGGACTGCAGGTCTGAGTCGACCCTTGACTCGACACAATTATGTTAAATATTTAACAAGATGTAAAAAGGGTAACTTTTGACCCATCAATAATTATTTGGTCAATAAAAGGTTATAGAATTTCTATCTCAAGAATGGTGGCATGAACACAAGTTATAGAGGTCACAATTTATACCTTTGCTTGTCTTAAAAATTCTTTTTTTTTTAATTGTTTTTAATAACAAAATAAAGTATATTTGCTAAACTAACCCTCACCAATATATGTTTTTATAAAAAAGTATAATTCAAGAATAACAATAATTTTTATTGCATTATTCAGATTTTTCATGACAGGGAAAGGAAATTTCATTAGGGGGAGAAGCCAAACGATTTTGTAAGGGAAAGAATGTAACATGATGTGATGAGTAAAATAGTAATGAAACGTAAAGGTATTAGAAATTTGAAAGCATTTGGAGGAGCGAGATTGGAAAATTAATATCATTAAGTAAACAAGAAAAATTATTAATGATGTGAAAGTGTTCAAAAGAACCCAGTTGATTAAATAAAGAAGCTTTATGGATCATTTTTTAAGATCATATTAAAATGTAATTAAGTGACCGCCGTACTTAGCTAAAAATTTTTTTTTTCTCCTTTCAAAATTTAATTCATATTCCCAGCGGAGAAATTTCAACACATTTTTAATTTGGCCAATATACACCAAATGGCACGATAAATATCAATCAATGCTAAATTAACACAATAATTAAAAGAACATACGAGATCTTAAAGAATCGAAAAATGAATTTTACTGATAGTGAAAAAAATAACTTAAATATTGAACTTATGGAGAAATCGAAAAATTTTGTAATTGATAGTAAGTTTGAATAATTATTGGGTACATGTTAGCTAAACGTCACTGTCGGCATAGTGTCCTGTTGACTAAATGTGTTGACAGTTAAGTGTCCCGTAGCTAAATGTCCTGACGGCTAACTCTCTGTGTCGGCCAAATGTTCTGTCTGCTAAATGTCTTGTTGGCTAACTGTCCATGTCAGCTAAATGACCTGTTGGCTAAGTGTCCGTGTTGGCTCAATGACCTGTCTGTCGGCTAAGTGTCCATGTCGGCTAAGTGTCAGTGTCGGCCAGATGTCTTGTTTGGCTAACTGGTATCGGTTAAGTGTCCCGTCGCCTAAATGTCCGCGACCAATTTTCAACACGTCACAGTTAGCCGTAATGATAAGAATGGTATTTAATGACTTTTCTGTTAAAGAAGAATTATTAAAAAATCTGCCTTTGAAGATGAGAACGTGAGGAGGACATTTACAACGTTTTTAAGATGTTAGCACAGAAATTGGTTTGCCGCTTAAAAAGTTATCGGCAATTACAACAGACGGAGCACCTGCTATGATAGGAAGAACCAACTACTTTGTGCAAGAAAAACAAGCGTTTTCCAAACTTCATGTCTTATCACTGCATCATTCATTAAGAAACGTTGTGCACAAAGATACTTCCATTTGAAAATGTCATGAATGTTGTCATGTCGATTATCAATTCTATTCATGCGGCTCCTTTGCAACACCTGCTTTTTAAAGCACTGACGGAAGACTCCAAAGATAAAACAGTCGACCTCATCTTACATGCAGAAACCCGATGGCTCAGCAGAGGTAAAGTTCTATCAAGATTTTATCTCTAATCGAGCAGATAAAAGAGTTCATGCAATTTAAAACTGACAAATTCAATAAACACATTGAAAAACTAAGTGATTCTTTGTGGCTACTTGATCTGGCTTTCCTCGTCGGCATCACTGTGAAACTCAACATTTTAAATCTGGATCTTCAGCAAACTGGCTCAAATGATGGGATCTGGGAAAGCTTTCAAAGCCAAATTGACATTATAAATATCTCAAAGGAGAACAAATTCGCTGGTTAATTTTCTAAACATGAAAAAAAATGGCAAATGCCGACAATTTTGGGTCCGTGCGATTTCCCAGCCATCTCGAGACATTTCTGAAATAATACGAAAAGCGATTTCAAGATTTCAGTTGCATGGTTGTTTTGTCAATCAATTCACCATGAAGCAACTGAAACTGCCACAGCAATTGCAAGAATTATTGCCGCAGAAATGGAAAACCTGAAGTTGGAAATAGTTGAACTAAAAAATGATGTTACCCTGTTACAGATGTAGACTTCTGGAAAATTGTGGAAAAAAACAGGTTCCTATTATTAAGAAGTGTTGCATATAAAATTAAATCTTGTTGCGGGTCTACCTACCTCTGCAAATATCTATTTTCAAACATAAACATTACCAAATCGAAGAACCGGAGCAGGCTCACTGATTCACATCTTGACAATTGTTAGTGTGCGGGAACCTCAATCTATGCACCTAACGTAAATATGTTGGTGGACGAAATTCAGTGTCAAAAATCTATTAAGCATAAAACCATAAACAGAACAGACCCAATGTATTGCAAGTAATAAAAACTTCGTGCATGAAATGTATACTTTGTTTCTATCGCAATCCTTTTTTTTATCTTCTTTATGAGAGCACTTTTTTTTTTTAAATGGGTTAGTGTTAACTAACAACGTGATAAGATCGCCATGGGATGGCCTGAATATCACCCAGGACAGAAAGTTGTCTGGTGCCTGCTTCGCTGTCTGCAATTGCCTTGTGTGGGTGCCCCAGCAACAAAAAAGTTTGAGCACCACTGGAAACCCCAAAAGTACTGTTATAGAACTATAAACATGGAAATAACCTCTAAATCTTGCCAAAACTCTTTACAGAAATGCTTTAAATTTCAATAAGATATAATGATTATAATAAGTGTAAAACAAAATACATACATTATTTAAATAACCACAGTGGATAACTAAATTACATTCTATATAAACAAAATTTCTTACCAGGAAATAACATATCCATAAACTGACAATAAGCAGCACCTGAAAGCAAATATTTTACACATTTACAATATTGAATGTTCAATGTAACTATGATTACTACTTTTCAAACTAAAAATCTAGAAACAAAGTTCTGCATTGCATAAACAAAAGAAAAATACATTTTTATTAATCTACCCTATATAATGCAATATATTACCTTTTTAACCTGGTTAATTCTTATTTAACTATGTAATTTACCGAAGGGAGAAAATAGATACTTTAGCTACACATTACAAATATTTTTAAAATATGCATTCCATACTTACTTTTTTAATAAGCAACTAAAACGTTAATCATCTATTAATTCTTACTTATTTCAAACACCCCGTTACATTAAACCTTTACATACAAACTAACTGACAGTAAAATAATTAAATAAAATTTTGAATTTATGACCTGTAGACAAAATATTAACGAGGTAAACTTCCTCTGATTGGTTGTTTGGTTGGCTTTTAATGGCACAAAACCTTGAAAGTTATGTGCCTGACGAATGGTGAATAAAATCCAAAATGTGCAAACATACTGTATCAGATGAATTGTTGAAATGAACTTGTAATGCTGATGAAGGCATGGAGAAATGACTTTGAGAAATGCTCTAGCAACAGGTAGAGCAGGATAAAAGGAAAACTTCAAATCGTATGTTAAAAAGAGATGTCTTTTAAAAAATGTACGAGATTGATTTGAAGGTTTCTTCCGATGAGATCTGTCAAGTTAACATTCGTAGAGGTAAAATGATATTCACGTTTCTGACTAAAAGCAGGGCAGCAGGTTAAAATGTCATTGACTGAAACAGGAGCGTTGCAAGTGCCTCAAATAGGCTCATTATCTCCTTTCAAGAGATACTGATGTGTCAGTCTGCAGTGACCAATTCATAGGCGAATCAGCAATACATCCTCCTTTCGATTCCCAATACTCCAAATTAGGTTTTACCTGCCTTAATTTGTTCAGTCTGGCATTCCCAGAGTTCTTGCTGCCACCTGGACAAGATCTTTGTTTTGATGTTCTTCCGTATGTCTGTAAAAGGGACGTCATTTTCAGAGGTAATATCAGCAGATTTTGCAGCAACATCGGCGAGTTCACTGCCTTTAATGCCAGCATGTCCAGGCACCCAGCAGTACGCAATAGAATAACCTGCGTTACTCAACCAGATGGTGTGCCTTTAAATTTTCTAAGACCAAAGCGTAGCTAGTATTTGTATTTATTGATTCAAGAGACTCAGAGAGTCAGAGTAGATGATGAACTTTCTGCTATTCTGATTAGAGATAAAGATTAAGGAATTTAAAATGGCAAAAGCTTCTGCAGTAAAGAAAGAGGCAGCTTTATGAAGATTACTACTCTTGATTTCTTTATCACAAACAAAAGGTGCCCCAACATGATCATGATTCTTGGAGCCATCAGTAAAAATATCTTTATAGTTAGAATGACTGCTTCTATGCTATACGAAAATTTGTTGATATTGGACATTATTGGTATTGCTCTTCTTCTCCAAAAATGTTTTAAGTAGTTGAATATTCACTTCTCACCAGGGAGCAATAATGAAAAAGTTAAAGCTTTCGGGATGCAGATCTTTTAGGTTGAATTCTTCAATGAGTGAATGTGAAGATCAAAAGGTGAGATACATGAAGGATGTGCTTGGTAGGTATACTAGTACTGATCAGATGTCATGAGTCGGATTACTTTATAATAAAGATCAATGGACAACTGCTTGCGTTTGAAATCCAGAGATGGTTCAAAACAGATGGCATATAAACTTTCTGGACTGGAGATGTTCTGAAAGCTCCACAGCAAATCTGTAGCACTTGATGGTGGACTGGATCCAATTTCAGTAGCACAGAAGGTCTCGCAGATCCATAGATAAACACAGCCATAGTCAAGTTTGGAGTATTAAAAGCTCTATAAATACAGAGCATAGAACAACGTTCTGCTCTCCATGAAGTATTTGCCAGGACTTTTAGTATGTTGAGAGTTTTAGCACATTTTTTTTTTTTTTTTAGATTTAAGATATGCAGAAGGAAAGTGAGCTTTCTGTCAAATATAACTCCTGAGAATTTTGCTTCTGGCTCAATGCAGATCAAAGAGCTGTCAAGGTGCAGCTCTGGGTCAAGATGTAGATTTCTTTTGCGACTTATGCGACTTATGCAAATAACTTATGCCATCAGGACCAGGGCAGGTCCTGTAAGTGTGAGATCGTACACTTCTTAATTCAAACATGGTAAGATCTTCCATTATAAGATTCTGCATTAGGATGGGAAAAATCGATTTGAATTTTTTCCAAGCGCATCTTGGTGGACAGAAACTCTTTTGATTAATTGCTACTGCCAGATACAGCAGCAAATGTATCACCTAAAGTATTGACTATTTCTTCTCTACTGCTTATCACCTTTCCATCTTTTTCTAGAACAAAAAAGGAATAATCATTATATAGTTCCAGAGGCTTTGCGGACTCTTTTCTAAACCTGTTTGCTAGACATTGAGGCGGTAATAGTGGACACACAGGTTACCCATGATTTTCTCTGACTTTGCCACCTCACTTTTATTGCATTCGCCTGAGCGTTTTGAAAGGCCAGAAGATTTGCCAATGTTGGATATTGGCGAAAGATACACCAAGCTTTCTTTTGCTCTCCCGAAATTTTAATGACAATCACTGTTCCACCAGGATTTAGGGAACTTTGACGAGAACTTCAGAATACTGAGTTCAGCTGCTTGTACAATAGTTTCAGAGATCATTTTTACTGCTGCATTAATCTCCACGTCGTTTACCATTTCTTCAGTCAGCAGAGCACAAGATCCCAATCAGTTTTATCGTAAAGTAAGCGTGGATGTCTTGAGATCATTGACTTTCCTGTAATATTAACAATAACTGGGAAATGGCCACTATCATAGAGATTCTTCCCTACAATGAAAGAGCAAAAAGGTAGTATGGATGGGGAACAAAAAACCAGATCAATTGCATGAAATGTTCTAGTCGGCTGGATGAAAGTAGGTGTAATCTCCATTATTAAGGAGACAAATAGAATGATCTTCCATTAATTGTTTGATCTGCCGGCCCCTTGAATTAGTGTCCCTACTTTCCCCATAAGGTACTATGTGCATTCAAGTCACCTAAAAGCAAAAAAGGTTCTGGGAGCTGCTCTATTATTCTGTCCAACTCTTGCTGATCAACATGCTCATGTGGTGGGTAAATAAATAGTGCATACCGAGATTGAAAAGCATAAATTAATCTGGATCGCTGCAGGTTGAAGGGAGGTTGTCAAAGAGAGAGCAGTGTATGGGTGATTGTGGGAGGTGATAAGTGCCACACCAACCACAGGCACGATCTCTAGACGGATTGTCCATTCTTATGGTGCTATATCTCCGTACCTTAGCATGTCTGCTTAGTTTTAACAAGGTCTCCTGAAGTGCAAACCAGGCAGGTTGATAGATGCTGATTAAGTCTTGGATATTATCCAGGTTTTGACGGAAACCCCGGCAAATAAATGTACCCATTAAGGATGCTTGTTTTGGCGATTTTTTTTTTTTACTTTCTAGGCAAAAGGTGTTTCAGAAGGGATAACCCTTGTTCAACGTCCATTTTGTCCGAGTCGTCTCGCTGTCCTAAACTCATGCTTGCAAGAGAGTTTTGACTGGTCATCCTGGGTTTTTGCTTATTTTTCTCTTTGATACCATCTTTATGTTTGTTCTGTTGGACATCCTGTTTTCCTTTGGACGCAGTCACCGGCGTACTACTTTCAACATCAGGTTTTTTCCCCCAATTTTTGGTTTCTAGGATCTTCTGTCATTGCTAGCTCTTTTTTTCAGTGCAGTTATTGTGGTTTGCATTGATATTGATCTGAATGATTTTCTTGCTGATGCATAAGATTTATTAGGTCTTGGCTGATTAGAGAGAACAAGTCTTTTGGCTTCTGCAAATGATATCTTTTATGTAACTTTAATGTTCTGAATTTGTTTATCTCTCTGCCATTTCAGGCATGATCTTGAAAAAGCTGGATGCTCGCCTTTACAGTTTATACACAAGGAGGCAGCAAAGCAGCCTTCACTAGCGTGGCCTACGATGGAACATCGTGACAAGAGGTCTTTCCATGTCCAAAGCGCTGACATTTAAAGCAACGCATTGGATTCGGTATATACGGACTGACTCAACAGTTTAGGTATCCAGCTTTGATGTTTCTAGGCAGGTTAAGAAACTTGAAAGTAAGTATGACATGTTTAGTGGGAATGAGTTTACCTTCTTTCCGTATTTTATTCCTATGAGCACCTCATGTTTTGATCTGCCAACTCTTTAACAAATTCCTCTTAAGTTACTGAGAGTAAGTCTATTTCAGAGATTACTCCTTGGGACAAATTTAGAGTGTTATGTGGCTTAACTGCAATGCTTGTTTGTCCTAATTTAGTTAGTTTCAAAAGACTATTAGACTGCTTTCCAGACACAGTTTCTATCAAAGGGTCTCCAGACCGAAGTCTCTTTTAATATTTTTCAATTCTCCTACAGAAGACAAAAGATTTTTGTTTATTAGAAAGGGTGACATTTTTTTTCAATTCTTCAGAGCTGGTTATAATTTAAGAAATATGGACAAAATACATCTGATACAGTGCTTTCTATGTCGCTTCTTAGTCCAGGATTGTGACACCCGATCACCAAGACGGTAATCCCCTGAAGAATCTTCACCTGCTATGCTTTAGCTGGGCATGTTGGAACAGCCTTCACACTTAGGGTGGCGCTACCAGAAGCTATGCTCCCGACGTACTTCGCCCATCTCGCCTACCGTCACCCACCACCACCACGTCGTCTTCCTTTGAATAGCATCTTGCTAAATAAAATGTCAATACTGAATACTTTTTGATAAATTGACCTTTCAAAACAATGCTCTTGTCGGTTATAGCAATGAGAAATGACAACTGGATAGTTTCAAGCTAAGGGACAAACAGACTGTTACTGATCTGTGCATGCACACAACTGGGGACTGATTGCACAAGGGTATGAATAACCATCACAGTCCATG